ATTTTATTAGATTTATTATTAATTATTTAAGCTTTTTTGAAAATTGAAAATGTAGTTTTCTTGTCAATGCTCTGGTCAAGACGCACATGTTGAGCTCTGAAAATGGGGGCTGTATAGTTAACAAACAGACAGCGTAGCTATAGGATGAGCTAATGCCAATATCTACGGTACATCCGCGTTCCAATTTGATGCCAACGCATCGACCCCTTGGTGGAGGAGTTACTCAGGTAAATAAGTGACGACCCCGGGCCTTTCAGACTCAAGCGAGCTAACATATCTTTAAGCTATAACTAGCACTTACTCGAAAAAGCTAGAAATATCATCAGAAAAGGCAATACATAACAGAAAACCTCCTGGGCAGCCAATAGCAACCTGTTTTCTGCCGATTGAATGGATGCGGTAGTCTGGAGGCAGCCAAAGAATCCTCTTCCCATCCTTGAAAACCCAGTTAGTTGACGACCCATATCCTTGAAACCTGACCCCGTTTGGGTCCTCAGAGTCATTTGAATCAAATTGCGTGAGATCGATTCTACCCAAATTTGTAAAGAGCTGTGTAGGGTCATCCTGATTGCAGGTAATCCTCTCTAGTAGGGGTATGTGTATATCCTTGACGATGTGGCCGGAAGAGGCTTCCATGATCCTTAGACAAGACCTGTCGTTAGTTGAAAAAATTTGAGTGCTGCCTCCGATACTCCTCAAATCAATTGAAATAATACGCAAGCTTAGATCTTTTTTTAAGGAAATTCGTTTGATCCGCTGGCCAGTGTCAACATCCCATAGCAAAATATCCCTATATTCATAGAACCCCGCGACCCAAGTATCAGACAAAGCGATGCAGCGAATGCCTCTCATAGGCGAGAACCAACCGCAATCACATGTTGCCTTTAGTTCTAATGTGTTATTGGAGTCCGCGCAGCTTTGGGGAGTCCTTTTCAGCGCTTGAGAATCGGTAGCTCTGACGTCAAATACTTTCAGTTGTGTGTAGTGCGACGCAGCGAGAAGTCCATCATTTCTAGAAAATTCCAAGCAAATTCCCACAGACCTAGAGAAGCTGAAGGCATTGATTTCCACACAGCAGCCTTTTTCGAGTTCGCAAATTCCCACGCTTCCCCCTCGCGTCAAAAATGCAAGTTTCGTGCTGTCCCATGAAAATTTGAGTGTTGCCACTTCATCACGCTTGTTATCCCGGAGAAGTCTCTCGAAATGTCCGGAGCTTGACCACAAATCTACTTTCGATTCATCAGATACTGCAGCGATCCATTTGTTGTCCTGAGAAAAGTAAACGTCGGATATTTTGCCGCCCTCATACTGTTCGTCCCCAACTCCTCTCCTGGGAGCTTCGAGGGCCCAGATTTTAGTGTACCCTCTCTTTTTATTAAAACGCGTAAACGGAGTCGGACTACATGATGCCAAATACTTGGCATCAGGGGAAAATGCCAATGATGAAACGAAGCTATCGTGGCCTTCAAATTGAAAAGTCCACGTACGCGAAGTAGTGTTCCAAACCCACATCTTATGATGTCCTGTTGACACGGCAAGCAAACTGCCATCATCAGAAAACGCCAAAGGCCCATAGAACCACGATTCTTTGAGCACCAAGCGCTCACGTCCAGAGGTATCTAAGATGTATAGATACGGTTCCTTCCCAAGGACAGCGACGATCCTCTCGCTTGGGGAAATCGCAACAACATTTCCCATATCATTGGACACTAGTTCATCCATCATCTTAACTGCTTCCCTAGTTCCAATATTCCACTGATACAATTCTCGTCCCGTTGTGACTAAAATTAGTCTCGACGAATCACGGGGGAATGACACTAGCCGATCAATGTCAAATCCTGTCTGCAGTCCACAACACCTCTCTCCCGTCTGTGCTTCCAGGATTTCGATACTTTTATCGATGAGTTGAACCGCAATCATTGTGCTACTTCCGAGAAATATAGGATCTCCACTAATTTCCGATTCTAACGTGCGTCGTGAGACGAGCTCGCCTTGCTCCGTGTCCCATATTCTGATGGAAGCTTTTGATACTCCGGCCAACAATTTTGAGTCATAAGAGAAGTCCAAGCGATGGAAAATATCGTCTCCCTGAGGTAGCTCAATCCACGATCCATTTACAACGTCAAGAAGCCTCAAATTCCTTTGCACACGAGCACTAGCCGAAACAAACTTTGTAGTGTCTTTTGATAGTCTGTAACTGGCTACAACGTCATCTTTGGGGTGGAAAGTTCGGCGGATACGAGCACCTGTAATTGTGTCTATAATCTGAATCCATTCATAATTTGTGGAAAGTAGCCAAGTTCCGTTCTGATTGTATGCCAACTTTGCACCAGGACCAGCTGGAAACTCTTCTATCAGCAGAAGGCATGAGGGCCACTGAGAAATATCATGGTTAGGAGACGTTATATTTGCCCATTTAGGATAATGGTGATTGAAGTATTTGCTGATTTGACTTGTTGAAGGACTGAAAATTATTGCAGACGTATAAACCTGCAACAGGGCCACAGCTATGGGCTCTCTGAAGCGAAGAAAGAACCTGTAGGCGTCCTCAAGAAAGTCAGACAGTCCCTTCATCTGATGATTTACCTAGAAGCTATTAGCTTTCTTGAAGAAGCGACGTGCATGAAAATGACTGCTAAACATACGGCAAAGTTTCTCATGTGATACAGCATCATGGCACCCTCCGACAACACGCCCAATAGACTTAGAGCCTCGATCCAATGAAGGAAATGTTGGGAAAGGAAGCTCAATATCTGCTCCTCAACTTCTCCGGCCTCAGAGGAGTTGATTCCTGTCCAGGTATGGGTACCAAGGTGGTTGCCCCAGAAGGTGCAAGCATATGAAATAGATTCCAGGCGGTCGAATTTGGGCGGATCGCCTTGGGCTGCTCCTGGATGCCTCAAACACCACATGTCGCGGTGGAGGACAGTCCTCATGAGGCAAATACTTTGAGTGAATATGCTTTGATCAATGCCACTTTGGGGCAGTGTGTCCCTCGCATGCTCTTCAAGAAATTGCTTGGCAGAGTAATGAACAAAGCTAACCGTCTCCGATGTAGAAGATATCCGTAAAAGGTTTCCGCATCCTTCAATCATTGTCTTCCAATCCCCGTGGCCAGCTTCGGCTGGTCCCCATAGAAATTCGGGCCTTAGAAGCATTGGAAATTCATTGACGGTAAGAGGGCGATGTGCAACGAGGCAAAGGCTAAGAATATACTTGAATATATCCACTTCTGGGCTATTAAGGATCGTTGCAAGCATCCTCCCATACAGGGCATCTATACCCGCCGGCAGGCGGTTCAATATCTTGGGTGCAGACGTGTAGCATCGAAGATTTTTCAACTCTGCGAAGGCCAAGGCAACCCACAGAAAGGTGCCCTCGGCGCGTTTAATAAGTTCATCCTGAAGACCCTTCATTTTTCGAGTGTTTGGCCCTAGGTTCCAATGCTCGGCTAATTCTTTCATCTTTGACCGAACAAATCTCTCGACGGCTCCTGAAACTGCCGGTTGGACATCTTCCAGCGACAGCTTCACGCAGGTAGAATAGTTTCGAAGTTTTCTTTCCACAGATAAGGTGCCAGTACGACTCGATACCACCCATTTGATATTGGGGTTTTCTGTGATCAATTCGAGAACAAGGCCGATATCTTGGCCACACTCATCAAGTCCGTCAATGCATATAATGGCTCCCTTGAGACTTTCATCACTTAAAATGGATCTAAGTGTGTCCCGGGCAGCAATTGCGACGCCCCCGCCAACGCCTTTAAAAGCATTTTGGTTCTTGTCAAGACTTTTCCGGAGTTGATCAAGGTATTTGTCAGATTCAAAGGCAATTGCCCCAATAAGACCTCTCAACGCAGCTGTCTTGGACAACTCTGATTCGGAGTTTCTAGCCTCGCAGAAGTAATAGAATATTCTTGTCGTCTTGCCACGAGAGGACTTGAGCCGGTCAATAATGTCGCATAGAAGCATCGTCTTGCCCTTTCCAGCATCGCCCGTGATCCAAAAGATTTGTTGCTCTGGTTTGTCAAGAAACGTTTGGAACTGGTTGCTGTGGAATAGCCACTCAGAACATTCCATGTAGAGGCCGCCCTTGTCCATTTTGATTCTCTCGAGTTGGATTTGGGGATCGGGTACATCGGAACCAAGCGCATCACGACATTCCCGGTCTCGAGCTTCTCGCTTTTCTTGACTCTCCTTCATCTGTGTATATTCACTGATGCATTGAGTGACTTTCTGTTCAGCCTTTTGGATATCCGACAGCTTTCCGGCCCAGTCTTTCCATTTGATCAAGTCTTGAAGCCAACTGACGAACCGATTCCTTTGAATCATAAGAACGGATTCAACCTGATACAGTAGAAATTTCTGGTAAAGATCAACAATGAAAAGCCTGAGGTTTTGCCCTAGACCTTTCATCGAATCGATATCCTGGAGCAAGAAGTCGGATAGCTCCCAGTACCATGCTAATTTCTTTTGCACATACACAAGGCCTTGTCGGTTCGCCTTTCGCTCCGATGCTGGATTCGCGACGAGCTTTGACTATTAGTAAATGTCCTAGTTGCTCTTTCATCGATACCCGACTTACCACGATGACCAGACCTAGGGCTGCGATTGGAGGGCCAGCTTGGGGAACAGACTCAAGAGGTCCTTTGATCAACTCGGTAATACCTTCGGCGATGCGAGCCACGTTCTCGATTGTCCCCAGGTGTTTATCCAGTCTTTCTGTTTTTTGCACTTGGGACCGAACAAATCTCGTCATTAGATTCCAAACGTCTTCGGGGTGTACCAGCTCTTTGTTTTGTGGAGAAGTTGAAGAAGTAGATGTAGAGCTCTTCCTCATTATTGCTTCGAACTTGGCCATCGTTTTTCTGTTTTCGTCTTTTAAGCCTTTGTAGGCATCATTCCAGACTTTTCGCTGAACAGGTGATGCAGATACTTCGTCCGACGTATCGTTTGCTTTAGTTTGGACTGGCTCCGGCGAAGCGTCGATGGGTTCACAGGAGTCCCCTGAGACCAAGTTCTTCCCATTCGTTGGCGCGTCATCTTGCCCTCCGCTATAGTTTGTATGAGAGTGAGGAGGCATGGCGCAGGACTAGCACCTTGAGATAAGCCCTAGCAGGACTAAGTTGGTGATTTTTGTTTTCGGCAAAAAGATAATCGAGGTCGGGAGAAGGCAGATTTGGCTGTAGCTGGAAGCATTCAGATGGGTAGGCAACCTGCGGTGTTTAGGCAGCAAGGCTTCAGGTCGCACCGTTGACTAATGATCGCATAACAAGTCAGATAAAAATATCGCCCCAGCGGCTTAGGCGGAACATGTAACTTATTGGTTCTAACCTACGTGTAAATGCCAACTTTTGCAGGATACATATGCACCTCAGACGCTGTGTAACCTGTTCCCTCCAATAGAGTGCCGGAATATGCTATCGCTATTGCACCTACTCACAGTCTCGGTGGTTCCATGCTTCAGGTGAGCCAATTTTGGTGTTTAAATACCAGACTGGATTTGCTGTTGACACGTATTATGAGACGAAGATGTATATTACTTTATTAATTTAATAAAAAAAATCAGAGGGCCAAATAACTATGTAAGAGATCCAGTAACACTACATTTCAATCGTACCTACGCCAGGGAAACCGTAGCTAACGATGCAATATACTATGGGTACACGCATCGCGATGCGTTAGACACACTAGCTGAAAGGACCTAGCTAGTATAAAGTAACAACATGTGCTAGTTTATGCCTGTCGCAGAGATTAATTTCATATCAATATTATACATTTACTTTGATAGTTGAATAATACCAAAAGTACACTATTATTATTTAAGCTGAATCTTATAACCACACTCGTATAGTGAAGTCTACGATTCTTTCCGAAATTTTATACAGGATATGTGGAAACCTGCAAGCCGTAATAACAATATTTCATGCGGAGAAATGACTTCCAATCACACTTCGCGATTGATAGCGCCAGTGTCTCATATTCTATCAGTTGCCGCAAGTCTACATATCACCGCTTGTTGGCCAACAAACTGTTACCGTTAAAATAAACATTCAATAAAGGCCTTGAGTTTTGGTAGACCCAGCAGACGACAAAAGTCAAAGGATACAGTATTATGCCTTCAATTCGCCGCATCTCATTCACTGAGCCGAATGCCCGATCTTAGGCACGGCATCCACAGGAAGCGATTCAAACCACCCGACGGGTGCAATTATATTATCCTAATTTTCATTCATCGTTTTGTATCCAAGTCTAGTTCACTTTTATGTTACACTCTATTGAGCAAACTATTCTCTGTACCAGGTACTTTTACTGACCAAACGGTCCTTTTCCAAACTGTCCATTCAACGTTTGCACGCCCTCTCCTCTGTCGACTTGTTACACCCTACGGCCGACTGGCAAAGTTAAAGCCTGTAGACGGGATCAGTGACCGGCCCCTATCATGATACTTTGAAAAGAAAACGCCTACCTGCTGGGTCGGCAAGATCAAAGCCGTGCTGCGGAGCCGAGTTGGTAATGGATCTCAGTATCTGCAATCTGAACGGAAAGTGCTTCAAAATGTCATGCTTACAATATGTGAATGGGCAATTTCAGATCTGCAAGAACACGAGAATGGTCCGCTTGGCCTTGCATTCTCTCACTATTTGAACCTAAATGCGGTCTCTGTTAGCTTCATCTTCGGTCCCAAGCCGTCCAGCATCATTCAACGGACTCGGCCAATTTAGACGGTCGTTTGCTGTAAAGGTAATCACATACAATTCGCGAGACGTTGTTCCCCCCGCGACGCTGTCATCAATGAGCAATGCCACTTTCCCTTCAGACTCGGAGGCGACGGGTGACAGTTTACAGTTTTCGGCGAACGCTCTTTTGTCGCGTATTGAATTAACTCCGGGATCGGCACAACTTGAAACGACCAAACTAGCAGCTGCAGTTGAATGCCCAATGAATGCAAGGAGGAAAATCCTGCTTCGTGTACATGGCCAAAACTATAGGATGCCATCATCGCCCAAAACTTGTCTCATTCGTTTTGCCAGCTTGGCCCCTATATTCCGTCGACTGCGATGCACAGACATGCCATCAATAGTAAGTAGATGTACTCGAGACTATCCCAATTCAGTACCGTACATGTCATGCATCCCAGGTTTGCATTGCGGCATGCAGACGCGCGGCTCTACAGTCTGCGATGGAGTTGTCCCACCACTCACCACAAAGACTCGATTGACAAGCGGAAAACAAACTTCGCGATGCCTTCCTTCCAAAAAGGAGCCAATTCTCAAGATGTAGCGGCGTACACCCTCCACGCCTAAACTTGGTTGCCCCTGCCCTTCTTTCCCATCATGACGGACCCTTTCGTCACGTCTCCCTGGTCCAGCACACTCATGCCCAATCTCTTCTCATACGCCTCTTTGCTCTTTGGCACCGCCGTCCGCAGAGTAAACCACCTCAAGTAGGGCAACGGACTCATAACCTCATCTATGCAATCAATCATCCATCCGCCTAGGCCGAGGCCTTGATGCTCGGGCAGCACGTATAAATCCGTCAGGTAGGCGAATGTGACGTAGTCCGTAGCAAGGCGCGCGAAGCCAATCTGTTGAAGGGAGTCAGGGGTACCAAGGCCATTGTTCTGAGCGACCGTGTCGTTTTCTTGGCGAATCTTGTACAGCCCAAAGCAAAACGACGCATCGACAATTTTCTGGACTACTTCGTCTGGCATAGCCGAGGCCCAGTACAGAAACTCTTGGGCAAACACTTCGTTGAGAGCCTTTACAGAGACGAGACGTTTGTCTGTTGATATCAAGAACCCATCTCTGGTCCAATTCCGTGGTTCTGAGGGCAAAGACATGGTAAAATCCTGTGCTAGATACGTAGTACTTGAACGCCGTGCGGTTTGATGGAACAAGATGTAGCGCGGCGACTACTTGTGTTAATCTGAATCTATATGGCGGCGATTTCGGCCGTGTGATTGCCAGATTGGTACAGACTTGGCCGCGGCGAGTTTAGCGCCTTGTCTCTGGCAGGGCGTGGCGCTTCATCTAGCATCAAGTGAGCGTGATGCGAGTAAAAACGATGCATTATGTAATCGCCTATATAATCGCAATCCTAGACCCTCCGATGTCGCGCTTGCTGAGGAGACCAAAGAGCTGGCAATTGAGAAATAACATGATGTGATAGTTGAGCCTCATCACGGAGGCTCCAAAAATATACACCCCTTTTTCCACCAACAACGGTGGAATTGATCCCATACCCTTGATACTACCATCACTCACATTCCGCCACAGATGGTGCTTGCCACGTACCAGAGCAGCACGTATCAGCTTCAAATGTCACGCACCCCAGCACAAGATGGGGCAACAACCCTGATATTTCCACGCGACAAACCCCATCACCAACATGCCTGCAAAAGTCCTCTAGTTTATTCATACAGCTCTGAAAACAGCGGCCCGAGTGTGCCCTCTCGGCCATGCTCGGCGGCGGACACGGTCGACGAATGAAAATTCACGCAACATGCCGGAATACAACACCATCCTCAGTTCTGTGGGTGGTGCAAAACAACAATTGGAGCAAGAGCCTGGCACCCTCTGGTCCGTAAAGTACAAGTCTCATCCAACATCCGGCCAGTCAGTGGGCCACGGCATGTTGAAATCATATCATTTTCAAGAATCAAGACACCGCCGTCACACACCCTCAAGACTAAAAAATTTTATAAATTCGACATGCCCGCCATACGCACCTCTCTCTTTCTTCCCAACTCTTTAGTCGCGACACTCGTCTGTTTCCAAACTGCCGTTTTGCTTTCCCCACCACAATGACGCGAGGCCCTCGAGGCATCAACGCCGCCCGCCAGTTGCGCCTGAAGCAAAAGGAGCAGAACTGGGCCGACAAGAACTATCGTTACCGCGCACTCAGATCACGATTCCGGTCCTCGCCGTTTAGCGGCGCCTCCCATGCCAAGGGTATAGTGCTTGAAAAGGTTGGCGTCGAGGCGAAGCAGCCGAATTCGGCGATTCGAAAGTGCGTGAGGGTGCAGCTCATCAAGAACGGCAAGAAGGTGACTGCCTTTGGTACGCTGACCCCCATGTGCTGTCATGAAAAGCGCTGACGGCCCTTGAAGTGCCCAACGACGGATGCCTCAACTTCATCGACGAGAATGACGAGGTGCTGCTGGCGGGTTTCGGCCGCAAGGGACGGGCTGTAGGAGATATCCCCGGTGTGCGATTTAAAATTGTAAAAGTCTCGGGCGTGAGTCTGCGTTCTCTTTGGAAGGAGAAGAAGGAGAAGCCTCGTTCGTAGGCAGGCACCGAATTACACGGCCTAGGCGTGGGCCGACACAAGTAGAGTGCTTGGAGGCATTGACAGTTTTAGTATCGTCATTGTGTGCCACGTGTAATGTCTGTCACCCAGTTGATTGACTGTGCCATTTACTTAAAGACAGATAGTCATGGTAGTCTTGGACGCGTGCAGGTACCCGACTTGACTCTACGGCTTTTGTTGTGGATTATACGCGGATGGCATTTGTTAATGGTGTGCTTGTACAAGCGCCTGTACAATTAGCCTGTAAGCGGAGGTTTAAGAAAAGTTGTATGAGGGATTTTGTAGGGCAGATTCATTCAACACTTCTTTTAATAGATTTGATACTCTTAAAAATAATATATATTTAAGAGTATTAAATTCTTCAAAGAGAGGGTTAAATGAACCCACTTATTTTATACACATGTATCCATCCCGTGGATTCCTTCCAACTATTAGCTCAGAACGCTGCAGCGGTGGCCATGGCTCCCTGTCTGCGGAATATAAAGGGGACTAATGTCAGAGCGGTCATCACTGAGCCATGGAGCAAAAAGACCCGGCAATAGCAACGTCCGCGATATCCAGCTTGTAGTGTCTCTTTAAATCTTCCTCTCACTATGGCATGACAATTAATCGATTTCTAGTTCGCACTCCTTCTGTGACGATATCGCACGCGTCCTCACAAGGCTAGCAGATGGAGATTGTTGTGTGAAAAGCGGCGCACAGGATTCGGTGTGAGCCATAAAAGGGAGGTGTGTAAGGAAACCCCCCAATACAAAAAAAAAAGCTCCAGCATTTAAGCTACTGCAGCGTACATGCCAACCCGAATAGCTGCATCTCTCATGCTCTTCATCTCACCGTCATTACCATAAATTCCAGACCCCATCTCGCCAGCTCATCTACACTGCTCACTAGCAAATACCATATAAATACATGGTTAGACACCTGCAACAAAAAAATGACCACACCTTTGCGCTCCCAAAACCAACAAGAATTCTGTTCCTCTCGGCGGAGGCCAGTTGGTGCTCTCATGGATTAGAGACGGTGTCGCAAAAATCGCCCATGAATCAAACCCACTGCTATTGTTCGGTATAATTATCACCAACAATTTGGGACAAAGTCATGGCAATCTACTCCAATTTGTCACATAAACACAACCACGTGATAACAAGGTTGAAGAGCCGACGAGCCAGGCAGGTTTATAAAAGTGTATTTGAATCCAACTACACGTTATTATCGTACAAGCTCAAAAATATCTCAATTGTCCCAGAAGCCTGTGTAGCCGATCAATTCCTATCCCAACCACCACCAAAGCAGGCAATGTCAGCCAAGGATCGACCAACCCAGCAGCTTCGGCTCTCCCTTAAGAGCTCTTGGGCTTCTCCGACGCAGGGACAAGGGCGGCGTGGGCCTGTCGGTGAAGCTCGCGAGGAGGGCTGTTCTGCGCGGCGGGAATGGGCTCGAGAGCGCTCGGCGGGTTCGCTGTGTACTTGAGGTGGTCGCCGAGGATCTGGCCGCTGGACAGGATGCCGTCCACGCCGCTGCCAGGAGCCGGAAGGTGTTCCTGGAGAGTGGCAAGGGGGTTCCCAGAAGCACCAGCAGCGGTGGTGTTGGCGGAACTAGCAGAGCTAGTAGAGCCAGTGGCAGCGCCAGCTCCGCCGAGGAACGTTCCAACAACGGGGATGTTGGACAGGAGAGACGTGAGGCCGTTTGTGTCCTGCGGCAAGGGGGCAGCCAGGCCCGTCTGGGCGGCGGAAAGGGCCAGAGTGGCGGAAAGGAGACTAGAGCCGGTGAATCTCATTGTGACTAGTTGTAAGAAAAATAATGATGGTGTTCTCGGAACAGGAGTTGTGTATTAAATTAGATGAGCCGAAGAGAAAATGCTGAGTGAACGTAGCCGCCTGCTCGGAGAGACCAAGAGTGCTGCAAAAAGAATAAAGTTGTTGTCCAGCCAAGAGACTAGAAGACTACGGGCTGGAAATAGAAAAACATTTATACATGCTTGTTTCCGGGCCGAGGAGGGTCACTGATGGTCCTCGATATGGCGACATCATCGCATGGCCAGGGCGGATGATTTGCGCACCGCCATCAGACTTGCATGCGCCGCTCGAGCAACCGGAACTTGGAACATTAGCGGCGGCTCCTTTCAGCGCATGTCTGCGTGCGAAAGCTACGCTTTGAACACGATTTGGGCGGATGCGGTGGATGATGTACGGCGCACTGACGTGGGACGTTGTCGAACGGCATCGGGCGCAAAGTATGTCGTCTCGGATCAAACTACTCTGGGCAGGCCAGATCGAAGCTAATTTGTTTCAAGGATCTCGCCCGAGATCCACATGGCAACATTGCCTCGTGTTGGCCGGTCTTTTTATGGCCATGATAGGACGGATGTGGGGAACAAAACTTCGATGGCCATTCATGACTGAGTCGTTCCTGCCGTTGAGTTGACGTACATGTACTTGGCCGCGGCAAATTGTGGGTCATCGTCGCTCGATGGAGTTGCGAGCGTTAAAGCGGCTTCATAGTCTTGCCGTGGTATTCTCTTGCAAATCGGCTGAATGACGTTTTTAGGCGATTTTCTTTTCTTTCTTCACTTCAATAACAAATGACATTGTCGATACTCCTCCAGCGACTGTCGTGAAATCACCCTTTGCAGGCTCAGATATTGTTTTGTTTAGTTGTGTTTACTTCGGGAATCGTGAGACACGGAAAAGCCGTTTTGCCCGTCCCCTGGAAGTTTATCCGTATATGGCAAGGTCTGCGTCATCTCTGGTCCCTTGCTGCCTTGGCATGAGCCAGCAGTAGTATTCCAACCTGCCAATACCTCTCAACTTGATTTTCCCCTCATCAGAAACTTGTATAAATATCTTGGCTGAATTAGCCTGAACTTTATCCAACATACCGGTTTGATCATCTACGCTAGCGAATTCGTTTTGCAAACATCCCAACGATGCAACGGCAGATGCAAAACGCTAGCATTGGCAAGAGTACCATCACATATAGCAACCGGACACAATGGCTACTTCAGCAGATCGCCGGGGGAACAAATCTCGGGACCTCCATACTACCAGCTTCAAGGCACAACCAGAATGCCGGTGACAGAAACTTCTATCATTATAAAGAGTCGGCATGGAAACTCAAAAAATGCCCTGGGTGATGTTGAATGCAGAGCCACAAGCCAAAATACCCAAGCAACGCCTGACAACGAGCCAGCGCCGCTACAGATGCTGATGATCCTGTCTGGTTTCTTGCAGCCATCCGCCGGGACCAACACATCCGAGAAATATTGGCGGGGCGGTTCTGCCCCTGAACCTACGACAACTGAGGGCAAGTAAAAGATTTGCTTCATTACATGAGAATTACTGCCATAAGCAGTGCGTCGCAAATCTTCTGCCAGAGCCAACAGCAAACAGAAGTCTGTTCCGGTGTGAAAGTGGCCTTTGTGTGACGTAGAGATGCACCTCATAGAATATGAATGGTCGAATAGACCGATCAAAGACTCTTCGTCACTATAAAAGGTAGGGGTGCAAAAAGTACGAGGGCTCTCAGCTAACAGATGTAGGGTAGTATATATCCACAACCAAAATGAAAGAGTTGAAAGGAATCATCCAAGCTACTGCAACATGCTCTTCGCCTCGTGTATACGGAAGCAGTCTCAAACCGGATAGAGTTGACGGGCAGTGTCGTTGATTGGTGGCCAGGTTACAAATACTCCTTTTCATACGTAACATGTCAATTGGTTCTTATAATCAACAGCGTTCACGCGCTCACAAAGGAACGAGTCCACTGTCGGGCTGAGATTAAGCATGCAGAGTCAAACAAGCTAAGTGCATGCCTAACCTCAATGCGTGTCTCACAGGTCAAAAACGAAATCAGCATCAAACAAACTTGAAAAAGAAGAAGAAAAGACAGGTCTGCGTAACGGGCAGCGGCAAGTGATTCTGTGGGGCACCGCTATACCGGCCACTCTCGGTGCCAGCGACACATTTCGCGTACGGAAATCCATTCCTAGAGCCACCGTTTCTGTGTCAGAATTTTTCGCATTAAATAGCTGCGGGCACTCTGTATGGCAGACGACGTTGCGGGGTCCCCAGCACAATGTCTCAGGCACGAGAAGGACGGGCAGCGACGTCAAAAAAGGCTTCACGATGCGGCCGGGAAGTGGGTCAACCGTCATGCATCTTCGGCCCAGCTCCTGCCGGCCCCCGGGCAAACCGCAACGCTCCTCTGACCTCATCTGACAGGACTCGTGACAAGTTGGACTCAAGTGTTTTCCTCCTTCCAGTTTGTACGGGAAAAAATGCCTCGTGTCAGCAATCTGCTGCTTGCTCTCCATGTTGCTCTCCTCCGTGCCGTTCTATAAACCCTCAGGCCGGGCAGCGAGTATACCATACGCGACACCATTTTGCTGCGCATGCGAATCCGCATGTCAAGTTCCTGGCTTTCTTGCTGCTTACACCGGCTCGCACTAACTCCCAGACTACACCGTCACCATCGTTGCATTCGAATGTCTCAGCCCTCGGTCTCGTCAGACTGGCCCGGCACATCACCTACAGACATGTCCACTCGGTCCAACGACGTCTCCCAAACAAGCGGCTTGGCATCCGGCTTATGTATTGCTCTTGCCATCATCATAGGACTCACAGTATACGTGCTGAGAGGAAGGATATTCTCATTCGGCGCCAACACAGCTGGCATGCCGCAACGACGCTCCGATACGCTGACACTCGAGGCTCTGGCTCTGTTGCCAATACATATCCATGACGCCCCCGAGCAGTCGAAAACATCACCCGTGAGCAGCGTTGCGTCGGACCCAAACGACAGATGCTGCTCCATCTGCACTGAGCCGTTCATGGACGGGGTCCAGCTGCGCAAGCTTCCTTGCGGGCATCAATTTGATAGGGGATGCATCGACCCGTGGCTGCTGAAGCGTTCTGCCACTTGTCCGCTCTGGTACGTGTTTGACCGTTGACTCATGCCTCGCTATTTTCTAACTCTAGTCAGCCGTCAGAAAGTCACCACGAGACCCCTGAAGCTTCACGAAAGATTGCCCGTGTCGCCTCGGCCAACCTTTTTCCCACCCAGCAGGTGGAAGATGAATAGAAACATTTCAAGAGTTGAGTGATATTCTCCGTGGTGAGATGCCGCGTCTAACAGCTTTACAGGATCCTCCAGGCAGTCCTGTTGCAACAAACCCGCGAAGAGGCCGGTATTCTGGTCAAACACAGGGGCAGAGACGCGCTCCCAGTTCCCATCCCTGCGGTACTCTGGCAACGATATCCGAGTCATCGAGAACGGCAGAGACGCGGGAAACTTTAAAGAATCGAGGATAAACGCAGGCTGTTCCGAGTTTATTAGCTCGTATATACAAAAACTTTTCCCGTCGCGAATTCCATCCGTTGTTGCAGAACCCATCAAACACTTGACACACCTCATGCACCAGCATCCTCCTCTCATGTAATAGGAAGCAAAAACCATGTGGCCATGTCAGGAGCCATACTATCACACTCATGCTATAATGTATTATAGCATAGTAGTGTATACCTCTTGGTGGGCACATGTTCTGCCACAGACTATAACCCAACCACTTCGTCTTCCGTACACGGACCCTGGTGGAGCACGCTGTACTTGAAGCCGTCCCTGTCCTTGATTGGCAAGGACACGGCAACAGTGTCCGCGGCACTCGGATACCTCGTAAGATGGCCATGCGTAGTTCGGTCCGCCGTGTCCGCCGCGATAATCAGCCCGTACTTGCCGCCTTGGATCCACGCTTCGTCCTTCCCCTTGTATAGACTGATGTGCACTAGACCGCTGATAAAAAGGACGTATCTGCGTGTTCGGTTCAGTTAGTCAGTGTGGCAGCAGGCACGGCTGTCAAGCACGTACTGAAAAGCCGGGGCATGATGAAACCCGCCGTCGAACCTCGCAGGAACCACACTGTACGATGCATTCGCCAACTCTCCCAGGGATAGCTGCAGGGAGCCCGTGATGCCTGACTCGGTAGTTTGCTGAAATGGGTTTGCGAGCTGCCAGCATTCGAGGGTCGATTCACCATCCCTGGCCGAGAGAGCCGTGAGGTTGAGGTTCGGTGTTGTGAGATTGCTGAGCTGCGCGACTGCAGAGAGTGCCAGACTCAGTAGAGTCAAGGTAGATGGCAACATGTTTATATGGAGATTGCTATTCCGGAGCTGGAAGGGGTCGATGAAAGTCGTCGGCTTGGGGAACGCAAGTTACAAGTGTTGATTTCTGTCCAGCATTCAGTGGTGTCCGTAGTGCCGCCGGAGAGTTTTAGTCCCGCAAAGCCAGGTACAAAGATTTATATGATCTACATTCGCATATCCGCAACTACCGAGCTTGCCGGCATTAGCGGGCTGACTGATGGCTAGGTCATGGTGTCCTTTAACTCCGGATGCAACGCTGTTCCTGGTGACTAGTTCACAGTGCAGAATTTTTTTCAAAGGCATATTAGGGTGTCGACAAGATTCTAGCTGACCAATTCCACTGTGCAATCTGGGCCAACACGTTGTAAGTTGCCCCGGTTTTCAGACTTACACCGTCTACCAGTCTGTTAAATCCCAACTAGGCCCACAACCCAGTTATACGAGGAAATCTTTCAGAAAATTACAAAGATCTCATTGTCATTATGTGGCGTAAGCAGAATCTCTCAAAAATATAAAAGAAAAAAATTCCGCATTTCGGGGTCAATAGCAGTTCTGCCAATACCAGACTAGCGCCACGACGCTCGGCAGTCTGCATCAGCTTCTCCACCGCCAGGAGGGCCAGGGAAGAAATACATGGAGCTGTCTGTAGCTGCTAACACCAAATATTGCAGCTCATTTTGTAAGGAGACTCAATAACCAGGCGCGCAATGGTGTCAGGAAGGCAAAAGGTTGCAGCATTGAGTCCCCACGTCACTGCGGCAAAATTTACGGTGTCCCAATTAATAGTCGATATATAATTCAATAGCAAGTCATTAACAACACAGTATTCTTAGCGTGAATAGTGTAGCGGTTAGCATGCATGCTTCCCAAGCATGCGACCCGGGTTCGAGTCCCGGTTCACGCAGCATTATTATTTTTTCACATTTGGTACACCACTACAGTCGCCTTTTATTTACCTTTTTTGCCAATGATCCGGCCACCGGGCTCTACAAAATGAAATACATGCATCTTTATACGTAATAGCCTCACAGCCAAGCCCCAATCCACACAGGCACGGGACATGGCCCCAATTATCGTGTTAAGCGTCACATCCAGCTGGACGGACCCAGCCAGCATCAGAGCCAAGGCAGTGCCGTCACAGCAGCAGGATTTAATAAATTGGATAGTACTAACTGAGAAGAGACATTATTGAAACCATTCGGCTTCATGTTCAGACATGCTCCATTGTTTTCGGGGTGGCCATCAGTCTAGAGCAATCAGACGCATATGACCTGGACATCTCACTCCGAGCCGCAGACAGCCCACATGTATGACGCAAGTCAATAACCATGCCAAAGTATTCCAAAGTGGCAACGGGTATAAAAAGTCAATATACATCCCGTCACGAACCACATCGTGGCCACAACTCTCCGTCCAACGCACCCCGAGTCTTGAGAGTAACATGCAAACATGGCGACTCCCATCGTGTACAAGAAAGCAGATATCGATGCCGACCCCGCAAGAGCAGAATACAAGACGTAAGCTGTACTAGCCGAATTACACGCTCGAGAACCTCTTCACAAAAGCTCACAATGGCAAAAACGAAAAAGGAGCGGCTGTCCCGAATGTAGTTCCCGGCCAAAATGGCAAAACACATCATAAACTGTCCAGCAGTACGTCAAAACAATACCTCCACCGCCCATCACGGAATGCTAACACCAGCAAAGCATATTACCTGCCCAACGATCTCGTACGCCCAAGGCCCCCAACATTCATACGGCAAAGCAGCAAACTAACACCCACAACCAGCCCGAGCAAAACCGTCTCGGTATGTTCCCCCAATTCCACCAACGCAACACCCAACTGAACCTCGCAGACCTCCAACACCAAATGTGCAAACTCATCCTCGACGGCAAACTCGGCCTCGCCCCCGTCCCATCCCCCAAGCACGTCCTCGACGTCGCCACAGGCACAGGCATATGGGCCCTCGAATACGGTTCCGCCTCCCAACCCCCCAGTCCCCCCAAAACCTCACTGACAGAAACTCCCCAAAAGCCAAAAACAACCCCCAAGCAAACGTCATCGGCACCGACCTCTTCACCATGCAACCGGCCACCGCCGCGCCCAACGTCTCCTTTGTCCGGCAAGACGTCGAGAAGGAAGAGTGGAACTACCCCCATCCCTTTGACTACATCCACCTCCGCTACATAGTAAGCTGCTTCGACGACGCGCAGTCCGTGTTCCGAAAAGCCCACGCCGCCCTCCGCCCAGGCGGGTACATTGAGATATTCGACCTGGTCCTGCACCCGCGCTACAGCGGCGACAAGCGCGGCCCCGCGCTCGACAAGTGGTGCTCCGCCGTGTGCGCCGCCGCCACGAGAGAAGGCAGGGATCTCCGGAAAGCAGAGAGGTACAAGCAGTGGCTGGAGGAGATTGGCTTCGTGGACGTGGTGGACGTCGAGATGATGCTACCCGGCAACGCGTGGTCCGAGGACGACAAGATAAAGGAGATTGGCGCGCTCCTCGTACAAGTGCAGCCGGGACCTCTGTTGACCCTGGGGACCTACTTTGGAGCAAGGGGCCTGTCGGGCGTGTTGGATGGCCTTGCTCCGGAGATGATGAGGGACATGGAGGATGAGAGCATCCACCTGTGCTGGCCCATGTGAGTCATCTCCCCTAGTACTCAGGTGGCAAGTTTCTCGGCGACTTCTGTTACTGAAACGTTCGGTTTTTTAGACATGTTGTGTATGGACGGAAGGCGCTCCAAGATGAATCCGCGTGAACGGCCGGTCTTGCACGTTGTTTGCTGAATGGGACGAAAACACGGGCAAATAGAAGGTGTCAACGGAAATATAAGGGGGTATAATGGCTGTTCAATTAGAGAGCGTTCTTTTTGTGACAGAAGGGCACCGAAAGACATAGCCTAGCAACCAGGATTCTTTAGCCATGTACTTTTTATCATTAGCAGTTGCTATCCGTTTACGCCATCCCTACCATATAACTAAGTCGCTGACATGGCCTGTGCCCAAATATGTGACTTGGTTTCTATGCGTGACAGTATGTCTCTACCACTTCGTATCAATGCTGCTTCTTGTACAAAATTCATCACGGCCGTGCCCATCTAATGAAGCCATGCGCTGCTAGAGGACCGTCTCCCCCTCTCATACAGCCATTTGCTGTTGAGCCCTACACTGGTACGCTTGCCTCCAGAGGGGCTGGGAGAGCCTGGATCCGAAAACAAGTTTGCCGACGTACTCTGACCAAAGGGGCTGCCTGAGCCAAAGGATGATCTTCGGCCATTTCCTAGCCCACTCATACTCTTTTGAAAGACCGGGGTACCCACTGGGGAGTATTGTGAACCAGAAGCCCCAAAGGAACCCTGAATAAGCGGACTGCCTCGTCCGGACAGCGGTGAGCTAGCATAGCTGCCCCTGCTTCCGACAGATCCAGCAATTGAAGGCGTCCTCGAGTACCGTGGAGGCGTGCTGAACTTGGCATCTGGAGTCGGCGGCGCGGAAGTGGGTGGAAGACCCAGCAGCTTCCGTTGGGCTGCGGTCAAAGGGATATCGGAGAGGTCGTCTTTGGCACGGACAAGTGGTAGACAGGCGAGGCAGATTTGAATGAATGGGATGAGTTGAAAGACGAACCACGCGGAGCTCAAGTACGTTCGGAATGTGCTGGAGACACTGCGACGGTGGTTAGCTTGTGATGCTGCCAATAGTGGGCGCATTGCTTCCTACATTTGGGGGTTGATCTTCATTTTGGCCAGCAGGCGAAGAGACCACAGGGCTAGTAGGGCAACTATATTATAGACTATTTGTCGAATATTTTTCTCGGAGAAATTTGTCGCACTCTGCCTTCGGGTGATTTCATTTAATCGCGGATGCCGCCATGTGCCAGGACTGTCAACAGCAGGAACTGCCTTGATCGGCGTCGACTGGACAGGAGTCGACATGCTGGCCGGGAGTGCTTTCTTCTGGAGGGGTATGGTCCAATTCCCAGTATTGAGGATCGGGGTACTCTTGGAAAGGAGAGCTCTAGGAAGTGGGCATGGTCAGCACGGCCAACGGTTGGCAGCAAAAGCTTTGCCCGACTTGCCGTGTATCTAATGCAGCGTCGTAAGAAAGAAAAAGGGCGAAATGAATTGTTCCGATCGCTCGCGACTAGGCTTTTGCTGCTAGTTAGTAGATGCACTGGGCGTGGGCACGATGGCCGGTGGGCTTCTGCTCCGAGTCGTCGAGGCTGTGATATTTGTTGTTGTTGATCGAGGCAGGCCACGAAAAGCGACAGCAACCAGTCAAGCGAAGCGGCCGAGTGGATGGAAGTGGATGCAGGGGTCAAGTGGCGCACGAGCCAAGTCAAGCGTGCGACTTGCTTGTCGTGGGCCGTGACTTGGTGACTTTGTGCCGGGACTTGGCTGCGCAACAAACGTGGATCGACTTTTCTCAAGCTCAATGCAAGCAGATTCTCGCCAGCCCCGGCCACCGCTTGCATAAACCCCGACATAATCGACACCCATCCAATTCTCGCGTCCCCATCGAGTATTCATCGAAGAAGCGCTTTTTACTCCCTCATTCCGTAGCCCAACCATGCTATGGTGATGATGCGCTTTTGATTCGCATCGCAACCCGCGACACTTTCAGCTCCGTACCCGCGATCCTACTGCCCTTTTCTCGTCCACGCCCCGCGAAGCCTCCCACCACCAACATGGCCGCCTCGCCCAGTTCGGCTGCGGCCACGTCCGACATCGAGGCCCCAAGCTCTCCTGCTGCTCAAGAAGCCAAGTCATTCGTCTCACGCGCTGCGAGCGACGATGAGGATACGCAGATGGCCGATGAAGCCACCGAGATCCAAGAGAAGCCTGCCCGTGGCAGAGGCAGGGCTTCGACAAAGGGCGGCGATGCACCCCATCAGATTGGCAAAATCCGGCATCTGAAAAAGGAAGATGGCGAGCCGCTCTGGCGCGAAGATATTCAGTACGACTTCCTCAAGGCCGTTTTCGACAATGAGCAAAAGGTTTTTACCAACTCGTACGACCGCGACATGGACAAGCAATGTTTTGCCGATCTCTACATCGATACCATGTCGCGAAGTAGCAAAACTAGCAAAGTCCTAAGGGACAAACTCCTCAGTGACCGAGATGCCGCCAAGGGCATGGCCATGGTCTGCCTGCTGGTCAACGTCGGCCGCATGAATACGACGCTCAACTGTACGTACAACATCTTCCACTCTACACATACCACCAACACATCATTTTTAAACACTGAAACCTAACCAGACCAAACTTTCAGTCTTTCCCGAAATGAGAGCCCAGCTTCGAACATACCACGCGATTCCCTCGCTACAGGCACACCAAGACGCACACGCGTACAAGCAACTCCAAGACGCCCCCCGTCTTAAATCTATCTTGAAGGGCGGTGCTGAGGACAGGGAGGAACCCAATTCGTTGGAGAAGATCAAGAAGGTCCAGGTACCTCGAACCAATCCTGTCAATCTCATCTTTTCCATGTGCCATTCAGCTCAGAAGGTTGCCGAATTACATTTCCCCAACCACCAAGAGTTCCACGACCTTATTATGAAGACGCAGTACAGCAGCAAGTCCCGCGCGATGGCGTTCTTGTGGCTCATGTGGTTTTACCTTGAGTCTGATTTCACCGAGGAGGGCTGCGAGGAAAATCCGTTTGGCGCCGGGGTCGACTACGGCCTAGATGTTGCAAACCAGGGTGTTCCAGAGCTCGTTGAGATGTCGGAGGATGAGCGAGCCAAGGAAAACGTAGACACCGCTGAGGAACTCGTTTTTGGGCGCGATAAACAAAAGACGCGAGCCAAGATTCTCGAGATGGACCAAGCCTATCTGAATGAAAGGGAGACAAAACGCGGCAAGCGGGCGACTCTGAATGAAGACGGCCCTGCTATCCTTCCACGCATCCGTCCTTCTAAACATGATTCAGACCGAGACAGCACAAGATCGACGCCTCCACCCCGACACATGGGAAGAGGTGGTCGGCGAGGGTTGGGGCTCAAGTACCAGATCTTTGAGGGGTCATCCCCAGCTCGTCATGGATCAGAAGGTGTTGGGTCGAGGAAACCCCGCCCCCCAACAGCGCATCAGCTTGCTGTGGAAAGAAACCGCAATGAACGCGTTGAGTACATTCTAGACCGAGGGCTTCGAAAACACCACCACAGGAGCCGCAAGGCTCGACGCCAGGATGGAGCCATATACAGAGCATACAGGCGGACCCAGGCCCAAGAAGACCCGTTCGAGGACAGCGATGGCGAGGACGCAATACCACGCAACATTTCCAGCAAAGACAAGACTGCCGTGTTCCGCGAGAGAGGTCTAGGTGGGCTTGCTCTCCTCAGTGCCGAGGCGGATGACTATGGCGAAGAAGTCAGTGCCTACGCGGCCGCCCTGAGAAGATCTTCGCGCCGTCTTCGTCGGTGGTTGGGACGCGAAACCGAGCTGGGCGTTATCGCGCCCATCAAGAACCAGAAAGCATCAGGGAAGGCCAGCGGCAACAAGGACGCTGACGGGGATGACAATGGTGTAAATGATTCCCCCACGAAGAATGGCGATGCAAATGGAGATATTACCATGGGTGACGCAGATATTGACGACCAGACTGCCTTGTTGGATGATGGGGATGACGATGTAGATGACCCAGACAAGACCGAAGTCATGGGCGATTCTGACGTGGAGTAACTGTTGGGCCTTATTTCAGCGCACGTCACGAAGCAGATCATGTATACCTAAGTCATTTTCTGATTTTTCTACGGAGGCAATCAGATGGGAGTTGAAGGAAGTCAAGGGATAGTGTACTACAAAGGATAGTTCGGATATATGATTTTCTTAGTTGGAATGGGGGTATTTTCCCTCCCACCGGGGGAATGGCAGCGACAATGATGATATAATTCCAAAAGCAGCACCATGAAATAACTTGAGATTTGCACTTTGTGAATTCAATTTTCTTCGTTACCATCTTTCATTCCAGTCCAGATCCAGAGTACGCTTCGGCACCCGCGGACATTACGGACGCCGGTCCCCTTTCACAGCTCTATCAACCTCCTCACACAAGTTGGTGATAATCGACCCAGCCGGAAGCTTACCTCTCCGAGACCACGAGCGGTGTGGGGCGGCAAAACGCCCCCAGGTTCGTCGAGTTGCATCCAACGCGCATCTCATTCTCCCTATTTATATACAACCCGCCCGGCCGTCTGTAGCCCAATTATTCAAACACAATCAGTCACTCATTTTTTTTCCCACTGTCCCTTTTTTGCCTCGCAGAAAATGCCCAAATCGAAGCGCTCCCAGAGGGCCGCGAGCTCCCCCATCGGTCAATTACTAGGCATCCTGGGCGTGCTAACCGCCCTCCTAGCATCATTGTTGTACCTCGCGGAGCGGAATCTGGACAAGTTCTACATCTTTGACCTGGACGAGTTACACGACGTGTCCAAGAGGGGCCTCGCCAAGCATGGCAACGACACGCGCGCCGTGGTCAAGTACATCGTCGACGACCTGCACACGACGCACGGCGCGCACATCAACCTCGAGGAGGACTGGGTGTTCAACAACGCCGGCGGCGCCATGGGCGCCATGTACATCCTCCACGCTAGTGAGTATACCGGCGTGCGGACCAAGTGAGAAGATTGCCCGGGCTGACCAACG